ATTAAGGTAGACAAAGTTTTGAGAAAATAAGCAATTTTGAAGACACTAACTATACATTTAAATGCAATTCTAGACCATTTCCGTTGAAAGCAAATATGTTATTGTTTTTAAAGTGTACGGGTTTTTGAAGAATTATTTTCAAGTTATTATATGAATAAGAAAATGGATCCCAAAGATGAAAATTTTAAAATAACTTGAAACAGTTAGTCCATTTTCATGAATTTCGATAGGGTAACTAGACGAACAAATTGAAATCACCTTTATGTGTACAAAAACGATTTGTTCTTACACTTCACCTAGCTTGGTAAACTTTGTTTATTACCAAGGTTGGTATGAATTAGGTCATTTCCTGTTTGTTCTCATGTTTCTTAATTTTAATCCTCTATTGTGTCAATTGTTGTATTTGTCCTCCCAATCTTCAGTTTAATACAAATTGACTTGACAAGTAAATGTGTGATCAGATTGTTCGAAATGTGTATTTCACAGATACATCACACATTGTTCAGATAAACTTCATCTTCTAACTAAGTTATTGAAAATAACTGTCTACCACAGTCAAAGGCTGACAACAATCTTTAATGTTACAAATGAACTCAGTGCAAATCAATGAATAAAAAATCAAATAACCTTTGTGAGAGCGTATTACATACGTTCGAAGTCATAAAAAAAGCAAATCAGTGGTAACTCATTATACAGAGGTGTAGTGATGAATGGCTGAGTTGGTAGTTTCGCATAATCAACCGGTTAAAGTTGATAACTTCTCCCTTTAAGAGGGACGGAGATCTTCGATAAGAAGAAATATGATTTCATCAGTGACCTCTAAATACAATGATATCTACAGTGGATGATCGAGTACATGAAATCAAGAAATACTACTTGTCTCCAAATTAACCATTGAAAGAGAAAAATCAGGAGTGCACAATCTCAAAACATACATATTTCTGAGATGTTGAATTTTTCTTCTTACAAGTACATAACAAAAAGTTTTTTAAACATGAAATGATGATTTCTCTATATGTTACATTTTAGTGAAATGCCATTAAAACAGAACTTATTAACTGGAATCAAATGTATTAATGTGTTTAATGTATTTAATTCAGATAAATCCCATTCATTCAGAGTCATAGTAACTGTATTGTAGGTTCGTTACCGATCGAATAACTAATACGTCATTGTTACTTAGATGTTCACACGCTTTTTGCATGAAACGCTACATTAATATTGGTCCACTTAGAGGATAAAGTATCTGGAGCCAAAAGGTCTTTTGAAAGATATCAAGACATATCCAGGTGATGTAAAACCCTATCAAAGCTCTTTTAGAGCACAACTCTAATCATGATAGATGGAAGTGTATTTTGTGCATTTACTAAGTGGTCAGTTCATGTTTTGCTCTGGCTCTCCACTCTTTTAAACACTGATGCTTGCTTAGTGAACTATTAACTACTGAATGCAGACATGCTGTTTTGTATACCCTCTTGCAACAATTCATCTCCATACAATGAGAGAATCTGTCAAATAATAGAATCTACAGTCCTTTACTTTCTACCACCTAGTGAATCTGAAAATTACTATTCTTCTTGAATCGTGCTTCATACAGTGTACAAAACAGAGCTAAACTTGAATGAAAAGCGTCAAACTCAGATAGTGAGATAATACCAATGTGTGCATTGAGAGTGGAGTATAAAAGATGAGAATCAAGAGCAACATCAACAAGTATCTTACTCCATGTGTTAAATGCAAGTACAGCCATTATAACTCAGTAGTCTACTAGATAACATTGTTGTATTTGAAGTAACGCGTTCTGGGTTTGAGTACCAATGGAAACAACATCACTCACGGAGGAACAGGTACATCCAACTGACAAGTGCAAGGTAGTATGGAAAGGGTGTCCTGTATTATACTATTGATGATAACCCATCATTACGAATTATCTGATGACTGGTTTGAAAGCATTTTTCACTACTCACTGCATTTGGATGAGCGAATAAGGTATTTTATCAGCAGTGCTCACGACCGTGGCTACAGATGACGTACTTAGTTGTAGTAGGCGATCACCGTTATCTGTACATTCAGCCGGGACTCCGAAATTGCCATCTAAGTGCCTTTCTGCCTCACTTAGTCTACCCACCTGCAACAATCACCACGTCCGAACGTTTGTCTTTCGAGAGAAGGCTAGACAGTTTCCAGTAGAACTCGTCCTTCACTCCATCCAAACTGCAGTCAGTGGATGCGTAAGCAAAGATTACAGAGAGACAACGAGTCTCACTATTCCTTTTGCTTCTCGCTGTGCCATTAAGTCGGATAGCCCAGAGGCGACTATCAACTGGGATCCAGTGTAGTAGTGAGTTTTCTGCCCTAGTGCTTAATGCTATGCCTACACCTGCAACACTCTGAGAGCCAGCCATCGGATCTTTAGAAACTCGAAGGGTGAATTCTGCGGAATCACCAGATTGACCGGGAGCGGTCAGGTGAATAACTGCACTTGGGTCCTGTATACGTGTCTCACAAACAGCACACATCCATGGCCCGAGTTGCTAGAGTCTTTGCCAACGAAGCCTGTTGACCAATTTGACGGAGGGTGCGGACATTGAAGGCTCCAATATGTAATTTGGGGTGTGGTTTAAGGAGACCAAGGATGCTGTTCTGCGAACTCAGATTGTTGTCGAAGGTTGCAGAGGTAGGAAAAATTGAAGATGTGGTATTGTTAGTTGAGAGGCGTGAAGGGAGATTAGGAAGTAATAATGGGGGGTGGGTAGTGGTCTGAAGAAACTTGAGTGCTGATAGAGTTGTGAGGGCGGTCGACACTTCCCGGCTCCCCATATTGTGGAAGGCTATTTCTTCTTAAGGTACCTGAAAGATTTGCGTGGCCGCAGAGCCCATCAGACATCTGCTTGAGGCCTGTCACACGAAGCCTTTTGAGTATGATTATTTCGAACTTTTGTATTTTTGAGGCCGGATGGTCTAAAGGAAACGACAAATGAACCAACACCGCCGGCCCGGCAGACCATGAGGCATGGTGGAGTGTATTATTTTTGGGGCCGACCTTTTCTAAGCCCCCCTCTTCCACTGAGAAGGCAGCATCAGCAAAGCACTGCTCGTCATCCAAGAGAAACACTTTACTGTTGTCACGCCCCATCCACCTAGCAGCAGTACGACTTCGCCCTCAGACCCCCATCATAGTGTAGCAAATTACACCAAAACGGTAACTGCTTTTTGTCTAACCACTATCCAACAGACCTATCTGGTATGGTAGGACCTCGAGGGAACAAGCGTCCCACCAGCATAGCTCTTTGGGTCATTGTGATATGCAAGCCCAACCACCACGTCAAGGTAGCAGCTATCGGTCGGGCTCTATAATTCTACAACAGTTCCAACTAGGCTCTTTTAAATTAAGCATTTGCGTAGTTCTCTCTTCAGTGACTGGTAAGTTGGTTTTATCTTGTTGTCTCAGGTTACTATCAACTGGGGCTTTAATAAAGTGTTTGCTATAACTGGACCTACCTCAAAGTAACTTGTAACTTTCAGTGGCGAATACATACAATCTATTTAACACACATTCACATTAACTTCGGATGCGAATGCTCAGTTCATTATAAGATAAAATAACTCCTAATTCAGTTTCGCAGCCCATCGACCGGGGTACTAGCAGTTTCTTTTCTGAGATTAAAATACCTACTTCCTTTTTCTTTTCAGAAACGTAGAATATTAAAACTATGAAAGCCTCAGCAAACGACTAACAAAGTACGTCTCCGGTGTCTTTTCTTAAGACAGGTACTATGTATTGTTATCAAAATAAACAAATAGTGGACCAATAGCTGTCCTAATGAAAGCGTTCGAAAGATATAATACACCTATATTGCAATTTATGTATTAACTTCGGCTTTTTTCAGCCTGAATATCAGTGGCTTTTAGAATAACACTTGTGAGTGGCTTGAGAATCCCCCTACACTCTACTTCCACTTCTTTTTAGTGTGCAGTATAAACCTTGGCGGACACTGAAGCTGCTACTAGCATTTTTCAATGGCCACAATGTTTAGATTCTTAAATGTAAGCTGAATGGTGAACAACACTAGGAGATAGTCTGGCGTTTAAAAAAACCGATAAGAAACCAGGTACTCTATTTTATTCTGTTTTAGACCCAACATGGAGTATATACCGTCAGGCTCAAATGAGACGGAATCTAGGTCTCTCCAAGAAAACAGTAGCGTTGAGCAACTAGGTAGTAGTTAAGCATCTGAATTTAAATTACATCACAATAAAGTGCATTTATTCAGCTAATATCAAGAGAGGACAAGGGATTACCGTATGACAGTTCAAGTGGTTACACTTCACATCAGCATGACAAGATCATATATACAGTGCTGTGGCAGACTACCGCATTGAAAACGCAACTGACATTTTTACAGTCTAATATTACAAACTGAAATTAGTGAGATGAAGCTTACGATAACCACGTGTATAGGCTTGAGCGCCGACACACAAATTATGGAAATTCGAGAAATAATTTGGGCTTTCACGCCCATAAATCCAAATCATACTATATTTTCCTTTCACGGTTGATGATTGCTTTTTTTGCTTTATATCAACAGAACAGTGCAAAAGAATTCATTTTATCTGAACCGTTTTGGGCTATCTGATGTGATTTTGAAGCAACGCAAAGCGCTATAAATTCACCGACGAATTGTAGCTTTAATACCTGACCGCATTGTCAGGCAAGGAAACTCAAGAAGTAATAAATGGCAGCAATGACAAAACCTACCCTTAAAAACTTTTGTGTGATGAGACAAATAAGTTTTCTTCCCGTAACACTGGTCCAGTTTTACGATAAGATCATATGTAATACAAATACAACGCGTTAACAACTGGTTCGTCGTCGTAACTGGTTTCCTAAGGACAATGAATTGTGATAAGTTTTCAGTTAACTAAAGAAAATAAAAGGGTTCAGGTCACGTTGATCCTATGATGTTTCGACTGCGGTTACAACAAGAACAACAGCCTTACGTACAACGAAAATTCACTAGTTGTTGAAAAGCTATACCCATGAACAATTACAGATCAAAAACATAGTAGTGGTCAATTTACAGGTATAGTTAAACACAAACAAAATCTAACAATGGTGCAAGCACCAGAGTCTAAGCAGAATTGAACCTAGGAAACTGTTCACTAGAATAGCACAATCCATGTTATTATCCAAATTTGAACATGATGCCATACTTCTGACCACCGCTCTCCAAATTCTTACCATCAAACTGGGTGCACAAAGCGACGCAAGCATCTGAAAACAAAACAGTAGTAATTTTTTTAGTAGCAGCTTTAGAAGCTAAATACTGGTTACTAACATATATATGTATACATATATAATTAAAAATAACATTACACGAAATTGTGACGTCGTAAAACAGCAAGCTGAAAAACATATTTTTACCCAGTTCAAGTACAAAGTTACAGGAGAGAAAACGAAATCAATATAGATGTTGACTCAAGTGAACAAGATACTTAATCCTACCAATGATAACAATGCAATTATAACAAAGTAGATAACAGTGACAGGTAGAAAAATTGTGACAATGTAATATGAACTAGCAGTGAGCAAACGAAGAGTAAATCAGATTTTCGAATGTTCAAGTGATAAACCATAAGCTTGTGGAGTGGTAACTTCGCTAGTGCAAGATCATTAACAGTGAAGATCTGATTTCACAAGCGAGTTGTTGACAGCTAAATACGCAGACATGAAATCTCGAAATTTGTAGTGATATGACAAACTTGTTTTCTGTATACATAGAGGTATACATACGCTTTAAATATCGTGATTTGAAGCACTGTGAGACATTCTATATACAATTTAATGTTGGGTAAACGACGTATCTAGATGCCATCTCCATAATTCCTATTTATGACGAATTATTGACCTGTTTGTCGATATAACTATTAAACTGAGTTTTGTTCAGATTTATCAGATGGATAAGTTGGAACCTTTTCGGTGGTTGCGTCCCAAGGGAAGATCATATCAGCCAGTACATTCTGATTGTCTGTGATAAGCAAACACCTAATTTATTGTTCTAGGCTACAGATATTATTAACAATCCAGTTGGCCACTTATCAGGCATCATCTTTCGTAACGTAACCAAATAAACTGTTTGAGTCAGATTCTCCTAATAGTTGGGACGAAGATTGGTATTTATGAAGCGAACTCTCACTGAAAAAGCAGAGGAGTGTTAGCCGGGTAGACTAAAATAGTGGGAGCACATTCGGTATATATTAAACAGGTAAAATGAACATACAAAAGTGAGAATACTAAACAACAAACGAAAATCTCCAATGTCCTGCAATTTTTCTTCTGAAAACCGGACACGACAAAATTACTACCCAATTAAAGCAGCGAAGTTTTCAAGAATACCACCTAAGTGAAGAGGGTCAAAAGCAATGAACTAATACCATTCAAAATTGCTAAGTGTTCAAAGTGCTACATAAACCAAACATAACTAGTGTTATTACCTTTATCATCATTTTGACTATTCGAGATACTGAGTGATGATTGAAGGTGAAATAGAAATTCAGACTGCGGTCGGATTCTAGCCAGCTCAGTTGGTAGAGCACCGAGTAGGGAACCCGGTGGTCGCTGGTTCGAACCCAGCCTTCAACCATCACCCAGCATCAATGTTATTACCATCGATATACACGCTGGCTTACTTTGCCAATTGGAGTTGAGTCACTTCAATGAACTAACTGTACGTGGTTTCGTTAAGCTACCAGGCAACTTACCAAGTTGTGCACAAATGCTCAGCAGGATCTTAAAAATAAATTCACCGTTCATATAGATCACAGTAAATCCTACATGATATATTCCATCAAATAATAAAGGGAGATAAAGTGCTCATAAGATATCTGATCATGAGACTAAAACGAAACGTCAAAAACTGTCATAAGCATTTTTTCATTTCTACCACCGAAATAAATGCATGAATGTCAGCTGCAATGCCAGAAGCTCATGGATTTTGATGCAATGAATTACGACGGGTGGACTTAATTAGGTTGCATACACCTTTCTGGAGGGGTTAAAAGTGGATGAAGACAAATAGATGACACTTATACAGCGGAGGACTAAATTCGGTAGAATTTACAGAAAAATGACAATCAAATTAAAACGTTTCATACCTGAGTTTAACTTCAGTTTGTAGGCAAGACCAACAATACAGTTTTGGTCGATTTTTATTTTCATCTTCCCAGCAGGACTAGTACGATATCGAAGAGCGGCACCAAATGTAGTCTCACGAGTCTCCGGTCTCCAGCCAACACGGAAGCCTAGCTTAGTCTCTTTGAATTTTTGAAAAACACTCAGATCAATGTCTGACTTTCCAGTAACGGCACAATGCACCTGTATATCTGACTGCTTGAAGTTCAGCGCAAGAATGTGTTTGCTAATCTCAGATTTTTGGCTATCTACAAGAGCTTGTGCACCAAGACAAAAGGCTGGATATTGAGGCATACTACAAATATAATAATAGAATAGACATACGGCACGACAATTGACCCGGTGATAAGGGGGTACTTAGACTTAAAGTTCATGTCCAGATTCGCATTGAAATATTCATGTTTGAACTTGTTCTTAAGCATCAGAGATTTCGCTCTGCACATTAGGCACAAAAACCGACTTGACTTACCCTGAGTCTGGTTCCATCGTGGTAATTAGATTGTGGGACAAATTATTGTGTAGTTTCTTTTCCACCTCGAGCTCGCTGGTAAGCACCCATTTGGAATCAACTTTCGTCTTCAAAGAGATTCCTGGGGCTGTTTTCAACTTCGACTCAATGAAACCAGATACTCTTCCAGCATTTGTATCATGTTTCCCACCACATGTCACTGAGACATCATTTTCAGTCTTTGTTTTAAACTCAAAGTTAAGGAATCCATAGCTAAAATTCTTATCAAACAGATCACGAGCAGATTTCCCCAAGTCACCGAAACCAGCCACCATGTTTTGATTAAACTAGACACCCGCCTTAAATGCAAGGTTATCTTCAAACTTCAAACTTCACACTTCGTGTTGTAGAATTAGTGAACTGCGGTACCTTGGGTTCTACGTCTGTCTTATTGGAATACGTTCTGAGTTTGGGATGGTCACAATTATCTTTCCAGTTCTGAAAAACCTGAAAGGATACAAATATGATTAATTAATTAATCTGGTCTCAGGTTAGTATTACTGCATCTGATCTGGGGAAAGCTTCTCTAGTATAGCCCATCGGTACCGTAGGACTGGAGGTGTGCGTCTGGCCTCCTTTTAAAGGTATCAGGGGATGGGCTGTAACAACTGCTGAAGGGAGGGAATTCCACAGTTTACAGACTCTAACTGCAAATGATTAGCACGGATCTTTGTACGCTCTCTCTCATTCTCTATTCTTAACGGGTGACCCCTCAAGTAGCGTTTCCGACTAAAGCTTAGAAGGGATCTGTTGGGATGGAGGGGATTATGGGCGATGTGGTACGTCATAATCATATCCCCTCTGATCTTCCAGTGTTGTAGCGGGTGCAGCTGAAGAGCAACTAAGCGATCTGCGCACGGTTTGTGCCGTAACCCAATCACTTTCTTTGTAGCTCTTCTCTGTACCCGCTCTAGGATGGCAATGTCCTTTTTCAAGTATGAGGACATTACAAGCGAACTGTTTTCGAAATGAGGATGAATGTGCAGAGCATACACTATGGTGATAAGAAGAGTTAGACACCCTAAGGTTCGCGAAAGAAACCCCAGGATTCCATAAGCCCTATTGGCTACAAGGTGACAGTGAGCAAAGGCTCCTAGTGTATCATTTTGGCGTAACTCCCAGATCCTGTTCCATGTTGGAGTGGCAGACATTTACTTCACCTACAGAGTAAGAACTGGGACTGCCTTCATGTTTGTCAACCATCATAATTCGACACTTCTTCGAGTTGAGAGAAGGCAGGTTTTCTGTCGTCCAACTAAGGATTTTAGTAAGGTCCTCCCGGAAGATCGAAATACCCTTTGGTTTCTGTATTTCCCTCTAGATCTTCAGATCATCGGCATATAATAGTGAATGTGAATTAGGGCACCCGGTAGGTCATTGATAAAAGCAAGAAACAGTATTGGGCCCAGTATGGAACCTTGATGCACACCACTCAGCATCGGGAACCAATCAGATAGAGAGGAGCCAACTCTAACTGACTGCACCCTGGTGTACAGATAATCTCTAAGCCAGATTAATAATTTTCCGTGTACACCCATGAGCTGGAGTTTCTTGCGAAGGAAATCATGATTTACTCTGTCAAAGGCCTAAGAAAAGTCAAGTGAACCATTGTGTATAAGCTTTTTCCTCTCGACAGAGAGTGTCCAGCCATTCCAAGCTGTCAATAAGTTGGTGTTACACGACCCTCCTGGTAGGAAGCCATGCTGACAGTCGTTAAGGATTGATTTCTAAAGTAAGTGATCACATAGTGAGTCATTTACGACTCTCTCCATGACCTTCGCAACTGAAGAGATCAGGGAGATTGGTCTGTAGTTCGGGGCGAGTAGTTTGTTTCCACCTTTATAAATTGGGATGACAGCCACCCGTTTCCAATCAGAGGGCAACCTGCCTTCCAGAGACGAGCTTTTGAAGAGGTTTGCTAGCGGGGCACACAAAACTTCAGCACACTCCTTGAGTGCTCTTGGGTGAATACCATCGATTCCTGGAGACTTATTCGGGTTCAGTTCCTTTAATTTTTCCATAATTACGGAGGGTATAAACTCTATATGACTTGGTCCCTCTGTAATACGGGTGTCCGACAGAGGCGGAGTTGTGTCTCCCAAATGACAGTTGTTTTGGGATTCATGAGCTAGTAGGTTTGTAACTTCGGATTTGGAATAGAGAATCTCCAAACTAATGGGGTCCTGTAAACTTAGTGAACTGTTACTCTTCTGTTTCATCAACGAGTACAGTATCCGATAATTTCCCCCAAGGGTTCTACAAAGTTGTGTCTGATGGTTTATTCTGTCATTTCTGATCCTAACTGAACATTTATTACGGATGTCTTTATAATTTAGCCAGTCAAAAGGGCTATTAGTGCACCTCTATAGACTCCAAGACGACCGCTTACGCCGCATTAGTTTGCGCGTGCTGGACTTAAGCCAGGAGGATTAGAGCTTGTTAGTTCTTCTTGGGATCAGAGTAATGTTGTCTTCTATTGTCTGTAGGATTATATCCTTCAACAGACCCCATCTTGCATCAAGATCCAGTAGGTCATCGCAATTTAAGCGAGCGGAACCTTCTAGATCTTGCCGAACCTTCTCGGAATCAGTCCTCTCGTAATTCCTAACTAGAGGCTGATTGGGAACGGGTGGCTTAGATACAGAAATATTGAAGGAGATAACTGCATGGTCACTTAGTTCAAGAGGGCTGAAAACATTCAAGTTGCTTACCGCAGTGAGCTGACTTGTGAAAATACAATCTAGTCGGGATGCCTTGCCGTCAGGCCCCCAGCGAGTACACTGGAAAGCATGTTCTGTCAAGGGATTTTTCAGTAACAATTCCTGAAAGTCTTTTAGAGCAGTAGACGGACTTTCTGTGGTAAAGAGTTGAGGAAGGTTAAAATCTCCCATAATGAGGACCTGTGGGAAGTTCAGTTCCAGGGCTCCTCTAATGGACTGTATTAATATTTTGTTTAGCATGGCATCAGCTGCAGGAGGGCGGCATAAAACTCCAACCAAACACGGACCTCCGCAGCACTTAATGCTACATCAGAGGACATCTTTAATGCCAATTCTATGAGGTTGAATCTCATGGACTTTTAAGGAAGGGCAGGTGTAAAGAGCAACACCACCTCCTGGACCCTCCGGTCTATCCTTTCGGATTAGGCTGAGCTGTCCTAAACGAACTTCCTTGTCTTTTATGTTTTGTGATAGCCATGTTTCACAGAAGGCCATTACGCTGGGATTTTCCTCGTCCACTAATAACCTTAACTCAGGTACCTTGGAGCGTAGGCCTAGTACATTGCTGAAGGTACAGCTAATAAGAGTATGAGGGCTAGAGGTCCCAGCAACCGGTTAAGTTAAGCATGAGTTGCCAGACTCTAAATGGCCGGCTTTGACAAGTTTTTTGATATGGCGGTGGAACCAAGGGCTACCGTATCCACTGACCTCTGACTGAGAACTTGTGCCGGGTTCTTCTATCTAGGACAAGGTCGATAAATACTCTTGCTCATCGTCTGGTCGTTCTACCGTTAGGTGTGCGTTGGCCAACGGTAAGCTCTTGAATCGCCTCCCAGTTTGCCTTTGTTCCCTGGGTCAAAATTTGTCAAATCCCACTGCCCTTTTTGAAAAGCGCGCTACTTATTCAGTGCTAACGTCAAATGGTTCAGATGGCTACTGCCAAAATCAGGGAAGCTTTCACTAACCTGGTTCCCATTATCCAGTATCTTTTACCAGCTGGTGTGAACCAATTGATTTCTTCGCGGTTGCTCCTGGGTCTTCCTGAACGGTTCCAGGTCATTGATAGATTCCGATGCAGTAGGTCAACGCACTCGACTGCTGTATCTCTGGTTTGTCTGACGGCTGTTGGGTGATGAATACATTTTCAAGGATAGTGTGATTTTTTCGGGGGCTGTGGCGCATATGGGTTCTTCAGCTATTGAGCCACCAGACAGCTGTTCGAACTGCTTTTAAAAAGGTTAAGCAGATGTCTGCTTAAGTTGAGGGACGGGAAGTGTGAAGAAGCAGTGGGGGGAAAAATGGGGTGAAAGGGGGCAGGATGGAGGGGAAGGAGAAACCCATGCAGATTTGTATAAGAAAAGTGATAGGGAAAGCCCTGGTAAATAGTGTGGGATCACAGAGTCAGTGGGAAGAGAAGGAGCAAGTAAGACTACGGGACCAGTCATAGGAATAGATATAGTGATGTTACTAGTAGGGGACGGTGACCGAAGGAGATATCTTCTGGGAAGTATGAGGTTGAGTCAGGTTCATGATGATAGTGGTAGTAAAAAAAGATTCGGTATAGGGTTGACTCTGCTTGGTTGCGCGGAGTCAGTGGGTTGCAGCAACGTCGTCCGTGTCCCAGCTGGATGAACCCATGCCCTGCATCACCACGCGGCTGTCCAACCTCTTTTCGGAGCTTTCAACAGACGGGGAAATAGCAGTCTCGGCAAGCAGTGCGTTCTAGTGGCCACAAGTGGATTTGAAATACTCAGTATCTCTTAGGCCGTTATCGAGTCGTCAAGCAGCCCAAGGTACCTGGGAGAGTATAGCCCCACGTCTTTCAGCTTATCCTCATGAGGTTTTCACCATATTTCCACAACAAACTTCTTTGCTCGCCTCTGAAAGTTCTCCAGGGGGTCCAAAGTCTCTTTTCAGATGTAGCGGTGCAGGATGTTGCTGACCTCCAAGTGAGGTCGTATATAAGTCTTGTACGGCTTCAGGAAAAGTCCCGGGGTAGGGGGCCTAGCTGTCTTCGCATGAAGTGCAGTACTGCGGAGGCTCTAGAGGCGTCGCCTAGGTAACTGGAGCTAGCTACTGGCTTATCAGTCACTATCAGTCCCATGTCTTTCTCCAAGGTGGCGTGGGAGAGTTGCGTTCCATGGAGAGAGTAGGGTACTTATGGGACACAGGGGTGCGGGGGAACATGGTTCGGCCCTTACCCAAGCTGAACACCAGTCCGTTATTGTCTACCCACCCCGCAGGCAGCCTGAGATAACTTCTCGGAGCACCTACTTCTGCTCCGGATGCTATAGCTCCTCATAACTGGATGTTTTCGGCATGAAGTATGGTCGGGGATCCGAGATTTGCTGGGGGGGGGGTCATTCACAAAATGATGGAACAGGACCGGACCTGGAATCGCTGCTTGTGATACGTCAGACGACAGTCTCCTCCGAGTCCACCAAACTCTGTTGACTTCCGCTCTGAATTCCCTTCTTTCTAGGTGGTTCTGCAGCCGGGAGAGCACTTGGCCGGTGATAACCAACCTTGACATTTTGTGAATAAGTACGGCGTGTAAGACTATGTCAAAGGCCTTGGGAAATCCAGGAAAATCACGTGAAAATCTAGAGTTCGTGGACCACTGGTTTTTGTGG